TTCGGCTCTGTGCCGCATCCTACCCCGTGAGGAGTTTGGTAAATATTGACTAGCTGGGATCTGTTGAGTACGACTCCAAATTACGCGTGAACTACCGACCTTTCAATAGCAGCACTCATTATTGGATTGACTTGAGACGACCTTGTTCATAACTGTTATCTTTATTCTTATTGTACTGGTTTTTTACAATAAAGCTTTACTTATTTTATCCATCTTTGTTTTTCAAATATATATTCCTTTTAGCATGGAATATAATATGAACCAATTGTGAGATGGAAGGAGTGGATGCCACAACGGAGCGAAAATGTGCTAATTGAATAAAATTATATATATATATATATATATATATATATATATATATATATATATGTAACAGAAGATGTCTGCATGTGTATGCTATTTATGCACGTACACATTTCCCGACCGACTTTAATGTTTCAAATTTACCAACATCAGGTCAATCTCCAGACCCCATGCCCCGAGTTTGGCAGAAAAATCGATAAAACTAAAGGTGGGTACGATTTTTTGAAAAAACAAGGCAAAGTTACATGTGAACAAAATTGGATGTGGTGATATTCATTGGTGATATTCATTGCACTTAATGCAAGACATCATCTCATGTTACAAGGCTTATGTAGAGTGCTTGATAGTTTTCCTGCGATATTGTCTTCACACAAAAAACTGCAAAAAAATCGGGTTTTTTTTTTCATACTACTTAAAATAAAAACTTGAATAACTAGCTCCTGTTTTTATCCGATTTTCTTCAAGCATGTCGCCAAATATTTGCCATCATGCAAGAAATAATCCTAATTGTAGTCCTGCTCGCTTCTTCGCGTATAAAGAAAAACTGTTAAATAAAACAGTTTTTAGACCATAACTACCTGGTTTTTCATCTCCTGCTTTCCAAAATTGCCATATAAATTTCATATGACACACAAATTATCTTGCGTGAATGTTTGGTTTAGATTATTTCAGTTAAATCGACGAAAACTGCGACAAACTGGGTCCAAATCGACATTTAGCCAACAGTTTCTACATATGATTCCATCCTAAATTGGCATTTGAACGACCTTTGATGCAAAAATACAAAGATTGTTTGATAAAAATTATTGAAGTGTTAAGAGGTAAAAATTCCTGAAGAACCTTTTATTAATCCCAGTTTTACAGTAAACGCTCGAAAAAATGGGGGCGTTCATTTGTTTGCATTTGCATTTGAATCAAGTTCTGACATTTCATCCCTGTTTTTCTTTGATTATTAGATTTGTGAACAATGTCATGCTATTTAAAAGTTATTATGGCCATAGGAAATTTACTGAATATCTAAAGCACTGAAACAATTTAACCACGAGCAGCAGCCACACAAGAAGGTTTTATTGATGGAAATCCTTTATTAAGAACAATCAAACACTTGCGAAGAACACAACGAAAATAGATGAGAAGGAGTAGCTTAGTATACCAACGAATGATGCATGCCAGTGAGAATGCAGGCAGACATTTTTAGATAGGGCGTGCGGGCATACGGGGGGTGCGGTTATACAATTGCAGCCATGTGTACACCCGGGCAAAGCCGAGTACATAGGCATATATATATATATATATTTTCTATTACACTTAACACCGTGAGATTGATCGTCTTGCATTTATTTAATTTTGAAAGTAATAATGTAGCGTTCTTTGTGTTTTGTTTTGTTTAATAAAAAAACGTTAGGTGGTCAGTTGATAAAAAAAAATCGCTCGACGACACCGTAAGGTCGAAAATAAGGTCGCGTATTCGAATGCTCTCCTGATTTTTAAAGTTAAAAGCTCTACATGTTTATTTTAACTTTAATTTTTCACACGTGTATTGAGCACTTTTTAATACTACTGTCTGTTGGTCAGCTTCAACTCTGACCATTAACCTTATATATATATATATATATATATATATATATATATATATATATATGACTATATATAATTTAAATAAAAACAGACCACTTTAAGGTTCCATGTAATAAATTATTTCACCACAGCCCTTTTAAAAGGACTGCGGATCATCAGACTTTACTTCCATACAAAAAATGAAAAGAAAATTTACACATTTTTGACGGGCCATATTAAACATATGTAAATTAACGAAGTGAGGTGGGGAGAGAAGACATGAGTGAGTTAGCAGATATTGGCACATTTAAACGGTTAACTCTGGATTTACATTGAGCTCACTGGATTTTATCCTCCTTAGGTTTACCCGTACGGATTACCTAGTTTTTCATAAACTAAATATGACTATATATATATATATATATATATATATATATATATATATATATATATATATATATATATAAAGACTATTTGATACCTAACGTAGAGCATATTTTTTTTAAGATTTTTTTTCGAATGCTCATTGTTTAATATAAAAATGAGAGGTCTCTATCAAATACGGATTAGCCACTGTAATGAGGTTTGAAGTAACAAAAATGGCGGGTTAAATATAAAACCATTCATTTTTACCCCCACACACACACATATAGACATATATATATATATATATATATATATATATATATATATATATATATATATATCAATAAGAACACCGGAATATATATTTTACTGTTTATTTTTTTTCGTTTTATATATATACATACATACACACACACACACATATATATATATATATATATATATATATATATATATATATATATATATATATATATATATATATATATATGCGTGTGTGTGTGTAAATTATGACCTATACCTGGTGTAAATGGAGTAATAGCATGCGATAATTGTCCATCCCACAAAATGTTTAATATTTAAAAAAAAAACACTAAACTAACGTAGTTTCTTTTTCCGGGTTTTCAGATAAGACGTTTAGCCATCTTGACACCATTTTTACCCTTTGATTTATAAGAAATAGAACAGGTTAAAATCTTTTTGTGTCAGACCACTCTCTTCCCAACTGAACAATAGTGAGAGGAAAAAATCATTCAGGTCTTCAACAATCGTACCAACATTCATACTCTGGCTTTCATCTTCAAAGAACCATCAAGAGAACGGTGAATAAGTTTTAAAAAAGAGGGAGAGGAAAACTGGATCCGGATTTCACAACAGGAAGAGGGATTTTCATTTTAACTTGAAGCTAAATACATTCTTATTGTTCAAAGTAAAGCTCTGAAATTTGTAAATACCTAGAGACATTTGTTTATTATTTTTCCTTTTCCTTTTCCTCAATAAGCGTAGACAAGTTAGCCTATCGTCCGATTCTTACTCTTCATGTAATTTTGAACGGAAGTAGTTGTTTGTCCATTGCTTCCGGTTTAGGATTGGGTTTCCGGTTCCTTCTAAAACCTACTTCAACTATAATTCTAACGTCTCCGTCTGAATTCGGGAATTTTATTTACTAATTATTTATTTTTCTATTCCATTTTATTTTTTATTTTGTCTTCT